TGCTTCAGGTAAATCGGAAAAGTTTGAATTTTTTCTATGTGAATAGCATCTGTTTTGATTTTTGGGGAACGGGTCGACTTCGTTTTCTTGTCATCAGTTGAGAATTCGTGGACGCTTTGATGGGTTTTTGTTCGATTATGATTTCTTTTTTTAAATAAATTATTTTGTTGGATTTGTTGGAATTTTGCTTTTTATTTGTTTTCTTGGTGCTTATGAATACTGTCTTAATTTTTGGGGTGGAGGGTTGTTGGAAGATGAATTGAAGGAGAAAGAATTTGTGCTAACAGCAAAGTTGGTTTGGGGTCTTGAAGTCAACTTAACTGAAGTTAAAGGGTGATTGAGCTAAGTGAAGGATTTATCTTTGTTTGAATTTATTAAGGTAGATGGTGATTTCCTTTTCTGAGATTCATTAGCGTATACAATAGCATGTTTGCTGCTATTGTTTATTTATTGGATGTCTTTTGATGTGGTATGAGAAAAGATTTGTTGCATCTTTCTTGCCTGATAGATTTTTATCATTAGCCTGAGTTGATAAAAATCTACGTCTCATCATGTGTGTCTACAAATATAGGACATGGTAGACGAATATCATAGTTGTAGTTCACCTAGATTCTAGGGCATTTGAGCTTCTGTTAGGTTTCTAGTTAGTCAAACATACTTGTGATATTGCTTACTAAAGAGACAGACTTCTCTTATGTTGTTTGTTATTTTGGCTTGACTGTACTCTGGACAAAGTTCAATCTTGGTGCTTTTAGTTGAATTACTTCATGAAAAACCATTGCTTTTGCACATTAATTGTATCTATATGATCTTCAGAAGGTGCAAGAAATTCCAAAGATGGTTCACAAACATCCCTGTGTAATTTAGTCTTTGAGAGAGTATAAACTGACCATTTCTGAAGTCATAGAAAGTATTCCTGAATTGTCCCCTTGGCTTCCTGATAGAAGTTTCTTGGTCCACCTTTGGCTGTTAATAGTCAGATATAAAATTTTGTCTTCATCTTTCGAGTAGTTATTTTTGTGTACTTTGCTGTTGGGGAAAATTATGGGCTTGCAAGATAGGTTCTTGATCGTTTAAAACCTACATGGTTGACAAGTCATGTTGGCTGCTGTTAAAATGGAAGATAGAAATGTAGGGAGATGACAAAGGATGTAGACTGTCGAATATCATGTATCTTGATATGAGTCTTGCAAAGGAATACTAAAATGTGCAACGTTGCCCTTACTAATTGGTATATTGTTGTCATGATTTTAGCATTGAGCAGTGTTGAATTTTCAGTTTTGTCTTACATTGCTATTAGTTATTGGTTTTAGGATCCTCATTGATGCATCTCTTTCTTGGATTTCCAGTAAATTCCAACAAGTATGAGCACATTAGATGTAGGCAGAGCTGAACTTGCTCTTGCAGTGTTATATTTGAACAAATCAGAAGCCAGGGACAAAATATGCAGGGCAATTCAATATGGTTCAAAATTCTTGAGTAATGGAGAGCCTGGCACTGCCCAGAATGTTGACAAATCAACCAGCTTGGCTCGGAAAGTTTTCCGTCTATATAAGGTCAAGATGGATTATAAATATCTCTTATGGCTTATAAATATGTGCTTTACGCTGTGACCTGTTTCTTATTCCATTGCTTTTATTCAGCCTTGTTGTGAACTTCTTATAATTTTGTTTTGTACGCTCCTATTATGTTTCAATGATGGTAATAGTGGACATATTTGTGTTCTTTTGCATTTCTTGACATTTTTCTGTTCTGTATTTTACAGTTTATCAATGATTTGCATGGTCTTATTAGCCCAAATGCTCCAGGCACTCCACTTTCACTCATTTTGTTGGGAAAGGTATGAAGTTCACTTCTCAATCATGGTTTCATGAAAATTTGCATTTCATCACAGTTGTTTTTTTTGTGTGTGTGTGTGTTTTTTTTTGTTTAAATCTTTTTGATACTGTATTTTGCAGTCTAAAAATGCATTGTTGTCAACGTTCTTATTCCTTGATCAAATCGTATGGCTTGGTAGGACAGGCATCTATAAGGTATGGAATGAACATTATGTATATGGTCTTTAATATTCAAGTGTGACATGAAATTTCACTGGAAATATCTAATGTAACTTAAATTCTTTTTAAATAAGAACAAAGAGCGTACTGAGCTGATTGGCAGGATCTCTCTCTTCTGTTGGATGGGCTCTTCAATCTGTACCACCTTGGTTGAGGTCTGTTGATTCTGTTGCATTCATATTTTGTTAATTATTATTTCTCCCATTATTCTGCTTTTCAGCTAACAGTTGATAGTTGCTATACATGTTTTGGTGTTCTGCAAGTTCAGCTAGGGGAGCTCGGGAGGCTTTCAGCATCAATGAAAAAATTGGAGAAGGAACTTAAGAATACCGATAAATATAAGGTTCATCTTTTCTGGAAGCATCTGCTTGGATGTCTTACCTTAACTTTTTCTTGGGAACCAATTTCCTATTATTTTGTTTGGCCCGTTTGTTTTGCAGAATGAGCAATACCGTGTCAAACTACAGAAGTCAAATGAAAGGTCTCTGGCCTTGATTAAAGCAGGAATGGACATAGTTGTTGCAGTTGGATTGCTTCAACTTGCACCGAAGAAAGTTACTCCCCGTGTAACAGGAGCCTTTGGCTTTGTTACCTCTCTGATTTCTTGTTATCAGGTACTTGATGTTTATCAGTTCTCATTAATATATGTGCGTTGATTGCCTTTGAATTTCCTAGCATGAAAGAGTAACGCATGCCAATGGAAACTTAATTGTCCCAATTGTGATGAGTAGCCAAGTTCAATTGAAACTAAGAAGGTATTCTTAGAATGCTTCTACATAAATCCAGAAATGGGCTTTTCCATCCTCTTGCAACTTCCTTTCTCGTGTAAGAGCATCTTTTGTCTGAACCAAAATTTAATTAATGTTTCATGTCTTTAGTGTAGTAAATTCATTTCTTCCAAAATATTTAGAGCATTTTCATCCTTTTCATATGGTATGTGCTTTCTTTCTAAGTGTTGGGAGTGTTTAGTATGAGATTCTGGCTTTGAAGCATGCATGAGGTTTAGCTATTCAGTTTCCTGATGTCATCTGTCTTGTACATTTGCCAAGTTGTCGAGATAGTGAGATATTCTATTTCTGTTTTGCAGTTGCTTCCTTCACCGCAGAAGGCCAAGACGCCTTGAAGTTGGACTGATTGTCAGCCGGTGTCTGTCTCAGTTAAATAATTATTATTCATATCTGAGAGTTAAAAACTTGTGGCTGTATGATTGACGTTAGTCTTCCCCTTGGTTAGAAGCTGCACTATAACCACCTTTCATTTTGCCATATGAATCTCTAATAATGATGTTTTACATGAAAATCACATTGGCTGTTGCTTTATTAGAGTAACCTTCCACATCTAAGTTTTCTGATTTATCCTTTTGTGGAACTTGATCACAATTCGTGTTAAAACAGTCAATTCTTCTAAGAACGTTGACACTTCAATGACACAGTTTACAGAATCTGTATTTGAATGTCTTTGATATCTCTTCATGTCTGGCTGGTTAGAGTATTGCAACTAGAGTCATCCCGTGCAGGAGAATCCTATTTTCGCCTAGTTCGTGAAAAGAAATTCTGTTGCCTGCATCATACATGCCTGTGATGGGAATTTGTTTGTGGGATAGAACTGAGTTATGTTTTTAATGCAAAGATGTTATTGATCAGGAAAGATGTATGCGGGTTACTGGTAAAAGAACAGTCTGCTGTATTCACTCGTTATTCAAGTATGCAATGGTATTCTACAATCATCTTGCCATGTACATCTGACCTGAAGTACGCTTACATCTTGTTAATTTGAAGATTGGATGTAAACTAAATGCATCAAGTTATTACTTGCAAAAAATGGGATGAGTATGAAATGGTTAGTTTTTTTTGCTGTAGTCAGCCGAGTATGAAATGGTATCCTACATTCATCATATTGCCCTGTACAAACCAGCTTGAATCTGCTGCACTATTTAGGTGCCAAGGTAAGATATGAACTTAAACACATGAAGCCAAATAGTGCTAAAACCAAAACATCAGATGCGCTCAACTCTGCGGGAAATAATAATTATGTTACATTACAGGTAGAGGAAACTATGATAAACATGAGAAGAGTTAATAACACTCGCTTATGATTCATTGGGACTGTCGTGTTTCAGTTATTTAAAGATGCAAAAACAAAACGGGGTAATAAATTCATAATCTGTAACTTCATCCTAAGGTAAAAAATAATCTCCAAGAAAGCAAAATTGTCCGCTCCAAGAAGATTTACTGCTGCTTCTTTCTTGGATGTACCAGTGCTAGACCACCTAGCCCAATAACGCCTAAAGATTGTCCGGGTTGTGTCGCATCATTGGTGAGTAGACAGCTATCCCAGATCAAAGCAAAGGTGCCGCCAATTCTAGCGGGTATGTATCAGGTATTCTGAAGCAGTACCTGCAGAGTTGTACAGAATGTAGTATCAAACTGCCTACTTCACCCTCTCTGCTTTTCCAAATGGGAAATTTGTCAAATTGGTCCCTAACATTTACCAAAAACACTTTTTTAGTCCCTGACATATAAAATTAGCCAAAATGCTCCTTCACATTTAAATTGTGAGCCAATTTGGTCATATTGCTCGTTTTTGCTCATTTCTCCGGCTAAAAATAGAGGGTAAAGGGTAATTTGAGAGCCAAAGGTGAAATGTGTATTTTGGTGGTGGTCCCTATCCTTTTACTTTCAACTGGTAATGAAATGTGTTTTCGATTTTGCCCCTAAAAATATGACTACGTGAGAGGGGCGTGCTATTTTTAGCCGGAGAAATGAGCAAAAACGAGCAATAGGACCAAATTGGCTCACAATTTAAATGTGAAGGAGCATTTTGGCTGATTTTATATGTCAGGGACTAAAATAGTGTTTTTGGTAAATGTTAGGGACCAATTTGGCAAATTTCCCTTTCCAAATTTATAAAAATCTTTAGCAGCACTATTTACTTGCCTTTCGTGGACAACTATGTAATTCGAATATCCTCCTTTGGTCACTGTACCATCAAAAGTTAAGACTGCTCCCTTGGACCACCGAACCTCCAATCCATCCTCTGACATTCCTCACAATCTCTGCAAGAATTAACGTAAGTTCCAACTCCAACTTTGAAGCGTTTAACGGGGGAGCCAACCTGTCTTGCGATCCCAGTGATCTCATGTCTGGCCTTGGGAATGATTAATACTGCACCTTGTAAAAGGGGACAAAATAGAAAAATTATCTAATAAAAAATGCTAATCTGTTGCGTGATCAATTCCACAGGATACTGATACCTGGCATATCCTGTTTTGTTCCTGGTCCAGACAACATCAGCATAACAAACTCCACAGTACGCGATATCCAGTGAAACATCTTCGCTCCCAATGGCCCTGTAGAGAGTTTTAAATCCTGGAGACCAAGAAACCTCGAAGTAAATGCTATCACTAGCAAACCAGCCTGGGACGAAAATTAGATTGCCGTAGGTGAAATACAAACTAACAGCAGGTCCTGATTGCTAGCAGCCTGCAGTTTTTTCCATGCAATATTTCAAACAGATTATTCCAGATGATATGAATTAGACTAGGAAATCAGAGGAATTCATTTACTCCGTTTGATTTTGATTTTTCTTGCAATCAATCAGTATTCATTGAAGAACTATGTTTATTCTTGTTTCTGATTCCCCTTGCAAACCATTAAGGGGGAAGTGTATCCATAAGGATGAACAATGGGCTGCACAGGGGTGTAGCTAGAAAAAATTCTTAGTGGGGGCAAAAACAACACTAAAATTTTTTATCTACTCTTTTTCTATTTTTTTAAGCAAAAAAAAAATTCACCAACAAGTACAAATGATGTATATATTCCATGAAAAACATAAAAAGACAAATTCAAAATTATTAATGTAATAATAATTTTATTTAAAAAACAAACTAAACTATTTACAATTGCTCACTGCGAGTTTTTATATTTTGATAACTGATTTGGTTGTGGAAGTAAGAATGGCTCTCGGTTGGGAAATTGGGAAGTGGGAACAAAGGATGTGAATGATATGATTGGATAAATTGATCAAGAGAAAGAGTAACTAGCTGCTTGGTTGTGGAAGGTAGTGGCTCTCGGTTGTGGAGGAAAAATAGGGGACCAGAGGAGGGAAGGGAAATTGGGGAGTGGAACCCAAAGAAAGTGAATGATATATGATTGGTACCTGCTAGTTAAAATGAAAAGGCTTTTTTTAGCTTATTTCAAATGTAATTTGTGCCCCACGCATCTTTTAGAATTTTAGTTTATGAACTAACTTAAAAAATCACGTAATTCTTTTACATCTTTTTAAAAAAAATTCTAAAAGCACATTTAAAATTATATTAAAATTATAAAATTTTAAGGGGCAGCGAGGCCCGTGCCCCACTTTAAATCCGCCCCTGGGGCTGCAGAATGCAGATGGTACAAATACAAACCAACTTTTCCTGCAATCTAAATGACAACGGCAGTGAAAAAGAAAAAATACACAAAACTCTACTTTTGGGCCGACAACACAATTAACTCTAGACGGGATAGGCATGCGAATTCACACTCCACTCGAACTTCTTTTGCAGAAGAGAAAATTAACGTGGCGAACAAACCTGCGGCTGAATTTGCAAGGAGACAGGACCCACCCCAGAAGGGTCTCTTGCTGCACAGCCGAGGCAGTCCTCATGATCACTTGCAAATGTCATTATTGTTTATAAACCTTGAAATGCTAAAGAGACATGTAAGAATCAAAAGGAGAAGTCAAGAAAACGAAGTAAGAGGAGCAATAACAATTTCCCTACTCAAAAGAGTGAGCGCCAAAGACAAAGAGCGTTGTTTGGTCCTAATTAGGAATGCCTTTAATAGGAGTGAGGACTGAATCGAAGAAGGAAGAGGGGCTGTCGGATTCCTGGAAACGTCTATTAGTTGCTTCATAATCTTCGTTCAACTTCACCAGCAGCGTCATCCGTGACATCTTCCTTTTTGACCAAGGATGAGATGAACCGGAATATTACAGTAAAACTAGACCTGATGTTCCATAATGTGTCAGGTCAATCTCATCATTCATAACATATTACAATAATCTTGTGGAGCTTTTGTTAAAAATGGGACCCTTAAAATTTACAATGATCAAAAAACCACGAGTCAAGATATTTGCAAAAAATTACTATATAGGGGGTTTGTTAGATTGTTGATTATTTGCAAAAATTTATTTGTTTGCATCACCATATATTTTTTTATCTCGTATGCATCACGTTACATCAACGAAAAGTTATATGTAAGCAACGAAAAGTAGAATGTTAGACAATGCCAGAAGAAGAGAAATACAGTAGTATGAAATTGGTTAGAAGTTCTGTCAACGATTTACAACTCGTGAAATTGCAGTGGACAATCATTGTGCGAAACGATTGCCACGGAAGAGTATTCTGCTCTGGCCTGGACCTACGTCAAGACCATGCTAGAGGAGATATATAGTCCCTACTCCATAGGATATAATAATAGGTTTGAACCCTGCATCTGCTACCATATGCAACTTCAGTTTTCAAGCTTAACGAATCCAACTCAATGCAATAACAGAATCTGACGCATCTTACTTGAGGGAGTTGGCAATATCAATAACGAAACGATATTTAACATCCTTCTTTATCATCCTCTCAAGAGCCTCATTTGAATATTGAATTGGAACTACTTCAATCTCTGGGTAGATCTTGTGCAAAGCACAGAAATTCAACATTTCTTGCGTCTGTTTTGTTCCACCAGTTACACTCCCAGATACAGTTTTCATACCTGCAAGAAGTCACATAGTTTATAAGCTACAATGCAGGTTCTACGACAACTGTGCCACGACAACGTATATATGTAAATGGTTAAGACTGTACCCAGGATTAGGGTTACCGGGCTGAATTTTACTTCACTTGGGAAGCCAACCAGAACAAAAACTCCAGCAGTCTTCAACAGTGAAAGGTATGGATCAAATGGAATATCTCCAGAAGCAGTATCAATAATGAAGTCCAATGAATTCGCTAGTGCCTGCACAAGATAAGCAGTCAAAATTGGTAAGGAATCAACACTTTCCTGCTTTAGCTAAAATCAATTCAACCCAAAAAGAGTTGGTTACTCTGCTAAAATGCAAGCAAGGGACTACAGTTGACAAGCTGATGGTTGCTTACACTCATCTGCTGTTCATCAGATGAGACAACAAAATTGTCTGCTCCCAGACGACTCACTGCCTCTTCTTTCTTGGATAAACTTGTACTGAACACTGTGACTTTCAATCCAAAAGCCTTTCCAAATTTCACTGCCAAGTGTCCTAGGCCACCTAGCCCAATAACACCCAAAGTTTTTCCAGGTTGGTTCATGTTGTGCCGTATCATTGGTGTGTAGACAGTTATCCCTGCACATAGCAAAGGTGCTGCCAGTTCCAGTGGGTAATTATCAGGTACTCTAAAGCAGTACCTGTTGAGTAAGAAAAGAATATTAGTATTAAAGAGCCTAGTTCCCCCTCTCTGCCTTCTGAAATGTCAAAAATCTTTAGCAGCAGTAAACACTCACCTTTCATGGACTACTATGTAACTAGAATATCCTCCTTTGGTCACTGTACCGTCCACATCTATCCCATCAAAAGTGAGGACTGGCCCCTTGGAGCAGTGAACTTCCAATCCATCATTGCAATACTCACACTCTCTGCAAGAATTAACATAAGTTCCAACTCCAACATGGTCTCCAACTTTGAAGTGCTTAACGTGGGAGCCAACTTGTCTTACGACCCCAGTGATCTCGTGTCTAGCCATGAGAGAGATTCATAAACTTTTCAAAAGGGGCAAAATATAAAACACTAATGAAACAATTATGTCTTTTGTGTGATCTAGTACCTACCCAGGCACCAGAGGATATTTAGAATGTCCCCCTTTGTTCCTGGTCCAGGCAACATCAGCATAACAAATTCCACAGTGTGTGATATCTAGTGAAACATCTTCACTCCCAATGGCCCTGTTGAGTTGTCAGGGTTTTAACCAAAGAGTTTGAATAACTTCGAAGTACAAAGTATCAGAAATATCTTTCTTTAGAGAGAGAGAGAGAAGCTCGTGGCCATGATTCATTAGCCAAAGGAATGTACAACAAAACAAATGTCTGGACACAATTAAAAGCCTATTAAGCTAAACTACCTGTGGTTCTCCTAATAAATACATCTCTCTTAAATTCAACTCCACATTACTTCACTGAAAGCCAAGGAGAGAAGTAATGCACAATTGGAATTGCTGTAGCAATGAGCCTAGGACAATTAACAAATTGGTGTAAGGTGGAATACAAACTAACATGAGTCCCTGATTGCTACCAGGTTGTAGATTTTTCTTATGGAATATTTCAAACAGTAAGCTCCAAATAGATAATACAAATCCAGGAAATCAGATGTAATGATTACTCCATGGAATTTCTGAATTCCCTTTACAGTCCATCAGTAGTTACCTAAGCATGTTTCTGATTCCTCTTAGAAATCATGAGTCATATACATATATCTGTGAAACGACCAATGTGCTGCAGATGGTACAACTGTTAACCAACTTTTACAAGCTTTTCCGCCAATCCTGACGAGCAAAGGTAATAATAAAAAGGGCACAAAAACTCTCCCCTTGGGCTGACAAGAAAGTTGGCTAGACGGTATACACATGCAAATGCACACTCAAGTAGATCTTCCTTTCCACAAGAAGAAAATGATGAGGTAGACAAACCTGCGGCTGAATTTGTAAGGAGACAGATGCCCAGAAGGATCTCTTGCTGCCCAGCCAAGGCACTCCGCATTGTCATTTGCAGAACTCATGGTTTTACTGCCCTAAAATACACAAGCAATACATACGAATCAAAGTAAGAAATCAAGTTGAAAGCTTGCAGAGATCCGTGTGTAGTGATGTGATATGCAAAAGTTAAAAAACCAAAAAAGAAAAGAAAAGGATAGAAAAAGCGACAAGAAAAGATTAAAGAGAAGGTAACGATTGACCTGATCGTTCTCAAGAAACCAAGAAACCGTAATAAGAACAATATTAAATTCCTCAGCCCAAAAGGTTACACAGTCAAGTAAACCTGATGCTTATCGGGGACGCGGGCGATGGCGATGGCGATGGCGTTGGTGTCAGTTAGGAAGCCCTTCCTTCGTCAAGAGGAGCGAGGATTGATTAGGAGGAGGAAGAGGGTCGGAGGGAGATGGGACCTGGGTTACCAGTAGTTCGAGTTCACTCGTCGGGTGTAGATAATGGATATATACGTTCGAGTACAAGGACTGCTGACCAGAATCTGATGGGACCATATTCATGGGACTAGAATGAGATGAACCGAACATGGATGTGAAAAATGATGGGATTCTTAAATGACTAGAAAATTAAGGTTGTGTTTGGATGGTATTTTTTAGGATTTTTTTTATAAAAAATAACTGTAACGATTTGATGCATATAAAATAAAAAAATAATAAAAAAATATGATCATAAAAAATGCCTAATTTTTAAACAAAAAATGACTGTCCAGACAAGGGCGTGCAAAGATATTCAAATGTTAGTTTGATGCAAGTTGTTAAACAGATAGAAGAGAACTATTTTAATTTAATACTACATCCAGCATCGTTCCCAAACAGCCGCCAGCCATGACCAACAATATATTTTTTCAGTCAATCCTGAATCATTTAATTCCACGTTATCAGCTCAGACCCTCTTTCTACCCATAAGGCAAAGCCCAGAGCCTCTGATCTTTCTGTCTTTTTCCTTTTAAGCAGGTCACCCGAAGTTATACGTTTGACAGAAAAAGCAATTAATGGGCCAAAAATAGTTACTAGCTGCAGAAAATTCTCCAAATTCCCGTGCTATTGAGGGCCATGAACATATATATACTACTGCTTTGATAGAATGGAGGCCTTTACGATGGCCTGTACTGGTCCTGAAAGGTCTGGTCCATCCCGTGTTCAATTGACTTACTGATCAGAGTGATTGATTTGATCTAGTTTGCTTCAAGCTTTTTGATCTTCGAGCTTTGTCTCAACTCAATCTAGGCCACGCAGGCACGAGCCAACTCCATCTTAGCCTTTGTTGAAAGCTAGTCCGCACCACAACACCAAAACCCCCCCACAAAAAAAAAAAAAACCCCAGCCTCCATCTTGGCCTTTATTGCCAGAAGTACTTGTAACATGAAAAGGGTTTGAACTTTTGCATACATCACATATAAGATCACATTTACAAGGGTTATATCACTTGTGGAGATAAAACCCCCACAAGAAGCACTACAAGATCAACTCTCCGCCTCTAAGGCAGAGGTTGTTTGACAACTCTAAAAGACAAAAAACTACACAGATATGGTAACAAGGATTTATTAAGAAAGAAAACAAAAGGAAATAGAAAACCATCCAAGAATCAGAGAACGAATTGATCCATTTCATTCTCCTCGTCATCCAAATCAAAGGGGCCATCGGCTTCTTGGTTACCGCCCACCAAATACTGCAACAGGCCCACACGTCCCCAAAACACATCTTCTGTTGCTATTATCGGCATTGGTGCAAGCTCAGGCTCTTCACTTTGTAACGTGTGTTGAAGAGCATGAGGGCAATACTTTAGCAAAAATTTCCCTGATGGTTCAAGGATCTCGACATGAAATGCAGGAGACAAGGGCCGCCCCATAACTTTAACATGAGAAACACTGAATAGGAGGACATGATCAGCTGGCGTGTCACCACGAGTATCACAGCATTTATCAATTAAAAGGCAAAAAGACTAACCATATGTAGAGTAATCCATCCATTTCTTGTTGTTGAACCCTCCCCAACAGCTCGATCTGCAAAAATCCACCAATGCAAAGAGCAGGCTGTGAAAACTTGAAATGCTGCAACCGGTTTTCCTGCATGTAAGATGTTATTTCAGCTCAGTAACCCTGACAACTTGCTCATGCCATCACTCAAAAGTAAATCAACATCAAGCCAAGTAAATTTCCCACATCTAAATTAAAAATGAAAAAGGAAAGAAAGGAATAAGGGAACACAAACATAGGGTGCAAAAGGACCATCAAACTGAAAACAAAAAAAATGCAATTGAGTACCTGAGTCA